CGCCGCCGCCACCACCCGCCGTCCTTCGCCAGCTGCCGCCGCCGCAGCCGCAAGACCTGCCCTGTCTCAGCCTCCGCAACTGCGCGGCGTCCACGGCGCCCCACGGCGAGGGCGAGCCAGGGACCCCACCTGCGCTCTCCCTAGTGTGCCCCGCGCCCCGCATGTGACCCGGCCAGGCCCCAACGAGTGCATCCCCAGCAGCGCCAGCACGGGGCTGCGCCCACCCGCCCTGCCACCCCGCTCTCCCGCCGGCTTGTCCGGGATGGCCGCGGCCAAGGCCGAGATGCAGCTGATGTCTCCGCTGCAGATCTCGGACCCGTTCGGCTCTTTTCCTCACTCGCCCACCATGGACAACTACCCTAAACTGGAGGAGATGATGCTGCTGAACAACGGGGCTCCCCAGTTTCTCGGTGCCGCCGGAGCCCCAGAAGGCAGCGGCGGTAGCAGCAGCAACAGCGGGGGCGGTGCAGGTGGAGGGGGCAGCAGCAGCGGCAGCGCCTTCAACCCTCCGGGGGAGCCGGGCGAGCAATCCTACGAGCACCTGACCGCAGGTAAGCAGTGGCCTGAGCCGAGAACGAGCCCCTTCGCTTCCATCCTGATGTGCAGACCTTCGCCGCAGGAGTGCTGCTGGACCTTAGGGGCGCAGCTGGGGTTTCCCTCCCTTCCTCGCATCTCCAGAGTCCTGTGTGTAGAGGGTGCCTGGGGACGCCCCCTCCCTGGACCTGAGCAGTGTGCGGAGGACCCAGCTTTTGTTTTGGATGGAGAGCTCTGGAGCTGCGTGGGTGGCTGGAAAGGGGGAGGGCTTGTTTTGATGGGCAAGGCTGCACCCCACCGCCGCCACCGCTACCAAAGACTTGCCTTGCCTCTCCAGCTTGTCCCCGAGGAAGGGCGGAGATCTATGGCCAGGGATGTCCTAGCAGCCCAGGGGAGGGGGCGCGCAGTAGCCGCGGCCGTGGGGGTGCTGGCGGGAATCCCTTGCCCGCGCAGCCGCTGCTGCGGAGCCCTGGAGCTGGAGCTGGAGCTGCAGTGGAGGGGGATTCTCCGTGTTTGCGTCAGCTGTTGTTGAAACGGCTTTGCCGTTGGAGCAGGTCCAGGAACATTGCAATCTGCCGCTATCAATTATTAACCAGCTTGGGAGTCGATGGTAGCTGGCTGACCTCTTGTCTGACAGCTCGGGTCCTCCTTGTCCTCCAGTGATTGCTCTCCAGTAACCAGGCCTCCCTCCTCTCTCTCCTGGCAGAGTCTTTTCCGGACATCTCTTTGAATAACGAGAAGGTGATGGTGGAAACAAGTTACCCCAGCCAAACCACGCGGCTACCCCCCATCACCTACACCGGCCGCTTCTCTCTGGAGCCTGCACCCAGCAGTGGCAACACCTTGTGGCCTGAGCCCCTCTTCAGCCTAGTCAGTGGCCTGGTGAGCATGAGCAACCCACCAGCCTCCTCATCCTCAGCACCGTCTCCAGCGGCCTCTTCCTCGTCCTCGGCTTCCCAGAGCCCACCCCTGAGCTGTGCAGTGCCGTCAAACGACAGCAGTCCCATTTACTCCGCCGCGCCCACCTTCCCCACACCCAATACTGACATCTTCCCTGAGCCACAGGGCCAGGCCTTCCCAGGCTCTGCCGGCACCGCGCTCCAGTACCCACCTCCGGCCTATCCTGCTGCTGCCAAAGGTGGCTTCCAAGTTCCCATGATCCCCGATTACCTGTTTCCACAGCAACAGGGAGATTTGGGCTTGGGCACCCCCGACCAGAAGCCCTTCCAGGGCCTGGAGAGCCGTACCCAGCAACCTTCGCTCACACCGCTCTCTACGATTAAGGCCTTTGCCACCCAGTCGGGCTCCCAGGACTTAAAGGCTCTCAATACCACTTACCAGTCGCAGCTCATCAAACCCAGCCGCATGCGCAAGTACCCCAACCGGCCCAGCAAGACGCCCCCCCACGAACGCCCCTACGCCTGTCCAGTGGAGTCTTGCGATCGCCGATTCTCTCGCTCGGACGAACTTACTCGGCACATCCGCATCCACACAGGCCAGAAGCCCTTCCAGTGTCGCATCTGCATGCGCAACTTCAGCCGCAGTGACCACCTTACCACGCACATCCGCACCCACACAGGCGAGAAGCCGTTTGCCTGTGACATCTGTGGGAGAAAATTTGCCAGGAGCGATGAACGCAAGAGGCACACCAAGATCCACTTGCGACAGAAGGACAAGAAAGCAGAGAAAAGTGTTATGGCCCCATCGGCCACCTCCTCCCTCTCTTCCTACTCATCTCCGGTGGCTACGTCTTACCCGTCCCCCGTCACTACGTCTTACCCATCCCCAGCTACCACCTCGTACCCATCTCCTGTGCCCACCTCCTACTCCTCCCCCGGCTCTTCCACCTACCCGTCGCCGGTGCACAGCGGCTTCCCTTCGCCCTCGGTGGCCACCACCTATGCCTCCCTGCCCCCCGCTTTCCCTTCCCAGGTCAGCAGCTTCCCTTCCTCGGCTGTTACCAACTCCTTCAGCTCCTCCACGGGGCTTTCGGACATGGCAGCAACCTTTTCTCCCAGGACAATTGAAATTTGCTAACCGGGAAAGGGAAAGAAAGGAAATAGGGAAAAAAAGAAACACAAGACACACATGGACAGGAGGATGAGCTGGCCATAGGAGGAGGCCCTCCTAGGTTGGATGGAGGTCCTCAGCCGCATCCTCCGCTCTGCCTAGAGTGGAAGGTCTGCTGGCCAACAACCCTTTCTGCCCACTGCCCTGCCGGGTTCCCGTTCCCTTTGACTTCAGCTGCCTGAAACAGCCATGTCCAAGTTCTCCACCTCTACACAAAGAACTTGATTTGCATGGATATTGGATAAATCATTTCAGTATCATCTTCATTGTATGCCTGACCCCCTGCTCCCTTCAGTGCTAGAAAATTGAGTTGGCAAAATGGGGTTTGGGCCCCTCCAAGCCCTGCCCTGCACCCTTGTACAGTGTCTGTGCCATGGATTTTGTTTTTCTGGGGTACTCTTGATGTGAAGATAATTTGCATATTCTATTGTATTATTTGGAGTTAGGCCCACACCTTGGGAGGGAAAAAAGAAAAGCCAAGCAAACCAGTGGTGATCCTCTATTCTGTGATGATGCTGTAACAATAAGTTTGAAGCTTCTTTTCAAACAGCAGTCCTAGGTATTAACTTGAGCATGTGTCAGAGTGTTCCGTTAGCCTTTTTGTAAATAATTGCTCGACCGTACTCACATGTGACAAAATATGGTTTGGTTTTTCTTTTTCTCTCTTTTTTCCTATCCTTTTGGTTTAAAAAGTTTCACGTCTTGGTGCCTTTTGTGTGACACGCCTTGCTGATGGCTTGACATGTGCAGTTGTGAGGGACGTGCTCACCTCTAGCCTTAAGGAGGGCAGGGAGTGATGATCTAGGGGAGGCTTTGGGAGCAAAATAAGAAAGAGGGCTGTGCTGAGCCTCGGCTCTCCAGGATGTTAGAAGACAAATCTAAAACAAAATCTGAACTCTCAAAAGTCTATTTTTTTAACTGAAAATGTAAATTTATACAAATATTCAGGAGTTGGAACGTTGTAGTTACCTACTGAGTAGGCGGCAATTTTGTATGTTATGAACATGCAGTTCATTATTTTGTGGTTTTATTTTACTTTGTACTTGTGTTTGCTTAAACAAAGTGACTGTTTGGCTTATAAACACATTGAATGCGCTTTATTGCCCATGGGATATGTCGTGTATATCCTTCGGAAAAATTAAACGGAAAATAAAGTAGCTGTGATTGGGTATGTGTTTCCTGGGCTGGGGGAAGGGCTCTGATGGGGAAGAACTGGAGAATTTCTCAAGACCAGGGCTGTTAGAGATAGAAGAACATTCCAACCGGAGTCATAGCCATTGTGTGTCCCAGGCCGGAACCTGGCTCCCCCCCATACACCTGTGCTAGGGAACAGGGTCTTCTAGACAAGGTGCATAGTGAGCCTGCTCTCCCTCCGTCTGGTGGGCTACAGCTTTACGTTCAGGTCACGAGTAAAGGTGGGTATGTGGCCAGAAGTAGTGCTGTTCTCCAATGCTGGGCCAGCCTTGCCCCCAGTCTCTGCCCAGGGCGGGGAAATCTTCATTCTTGGAAATCCCTGCCATGTGTCGTTGAGGGACCCAAGAGCTGGGCAAATGTGTTTTGGGAAACAACAGCTGGGGCTGACTCAACTTCTCCCTGCCTTCCTTCATGTCCCCGGCATCTCGAGGGCGTTAAAGGAGCTTAGAAGAGGCAAGGCCCAGTTTTCCATCCAAGAATCCTTCCAGGAAGGAAACCTCATCACTTGCCAGCTGGAACTGCCATCCCTGGCAGCTTCCTGGGACCAGAGCAGAGTGAGCAGGAGGCTGGCCTGGTGGCTGTAGTTCTCATCCAGGCCAAGTCTGTCCCCATCGTGCAGCAAGCATTCCATGCTGAGTTCTTTTGGCCCCAGCCACCCCTCCCCC